TTGGCCATGTGGTGTGTCATGTCCGTGTTGACGAAACCGGGACAGCACTGAAGTCAGGAAGCAAGGGTAAACTTTAAGTATCCCAAGTCGCCCAAGAGCTTACAAGTCGTTTGAGTTTGCATTAACGTGATAAGACGAGAAGCAATTAACCGCATCGCAAAACGAAAACCAAAAAAAACATAAGCATGTCCTGTACTTTTAGACAAAGTCGATTTATTTAAATTAGTATCAAAAATCGATGTGAAAAAAATATATAATTGGGTAGTCACTTTTACAGAGGCCGCTATAATGGCGTGACGGGCATAGCAGAATAAACACTACTATTATAATTTGTGTTAAGTAAATATTTTGAATCCAAAACACATTTCGGTGAATGTACTGTACGTATCCCAAAATCATTATAGAGTTTAGGTAGCGAAGCTCATCAAAATATAACGCCACCTCCCAGAGTGCCTCCAAATTAGGCAGCAATATTAGGCACCGGAAGAAACATGTAATACAAAATTAATTGAGTACCCGCGATAAACTGGTATTCCTGAACAGTATTCCGAAAGTCATGAACACTGCTGCGACCTTTTCAATGCCCCTTCAGGTGGCGAATAATACTGGCACACGATTTTGAAATGTAATAGTGGAGAACGTTATGTACTAAAGGTCCCTTATAGGCAACAACGTAGTTTTCTATGCATAAATAACTACGTATTTTACTGCAGTGTATTATTTACTTTGGTATAATTATTATCTTACTTATTTATCATTTAGTTTTACTAGTTTAATTAAGCTTTGGTTTATTTCGATTTAGTCTTTAGTTTGGTTGTGTTATATTGAACTATGGTGTTGCCTAAAAGGAACCCCTACCCTTCATGTTCACCCAGAGCTTCCTTTGACGTATGTGAAAGCTTACCGCTTTTTAGTCACACTTTAATCCAGACGGTAAATATGACTGTAAAATGAGCTTGTCAACATGGGCCAGGGAGACTAGGATGGTCATTGCTAGTTTATTAGTAATCGTCAGCCTTGAAGGTCTAGATTGAGACCAGCAGGATACAAAGATCTCGTAAGTTGATCAAAGTTTGCCTCACTACCGCAAATTATTCCGCCTTTAGTGCCTACAGCAATATATGTGTCTACAGTACATGCAC